GAGGACAACGAGCCTAAGGACGAGGGGAAGCAGTGAGGAATGAGGGGGAGCAGAGGAAGACGGAGGAAGGCTTTCCAAGTTGGACACCTGAAAGATGAAAATCATGAATTGGGACCTCCCCGAATTATCCCTCCTTCTCATTTGCAGAACATGTTCAAGAACCCAGCGCGACCCCAACTACGGGAAAGCTTCCTGCTGCATAGGCTTGGCCTTGCTTGGCATTGTGTCGCAATACATGGCGTTGATTTGCAATGCCAGGGAACCCGAGAAGCAAGACCAGGTAACCCGAGGGTCCCAAGCAGGCAATAAGACTGGAGAGCCCAGGGAACCCGAAGAACAAGACCGGGGAAGTCGAGGATCCCGAGCAAGGAGCAAGACCGGAGGGCCCAAGGAACTCGAGCACGATGAAAGGCACTGCAAGGAAACATGGCAAGGAACCGAGTCACCAAGGAACCCAGGGAAGGCACCGAGGGCCCCGCGCAAGGCAGCCAGGGGAACCAGGAGCCAGGAACCAAGGGACCAAGACCCAGGAACCCAACGAAGCCGGGAAGCGCCGTAAGGAATCGGGATCGGCGGCGACGAGAAGGGCGAATGGCCTAGGGGCGGGCATTGCACGTACTCGCCCGGGAGCCTTGTCGAAGACAGAGATCATCGGCGCCCCTGGATACATGTGTTGCTCTCCCCTGGGCTATTCCCCCCCTATCGTCGGCTCTGGCAGGACCAGGGAAGCGGAGCCCCGCAGCAAGGCACCAAGACCAGGGGAACCGAGGAGCCGCCCAGACCGAGCAGGCCGAGCGCGCAGCAGGGGGCCAAGAGGCCAAGCGAGCCAGGGAGCCAAGGAACCAGAGAGACCGAGAGGGGAGAGGTCGGCCGGCGCAGGCCCAGCACCCACCATGTCCTGTGATCAAACGCGAGCCCGGCGCGACCCCAACGGGGGGGAACTCCTCCTCCTCCTCCTCCTCCTCCACCTCCTCCTCCTCCTCCTCCTCCTCCTCCCTCCTCCTTCCTCCTCCCTCCCTCCCTCCCCTCCCTCCCTCCCTCCCCCTCCCTCCCCTCCCTCCCCCCCTCCCTCCCTCCTCTCCCTCCCTCCCTCCATCCCTCTCTCCCTCCCTCCCCCCCTCCCTCCCTCCCTCCCTCCCTCCCTCCCTCCCTCCTCCTCCTCCTCCTCCTCCTCCTCCTCCTCCTCCTCCTCCTCCTCCTCCTACTGCAAGGGCGCGTGTGTGTATGTGTGCGTGTGTGTGTGTGTGTGTGTGTGTTGCATGCCTTGGCATTGCTTGACGCATTGCTGGGCAGATCTCGGGGCAGTGCCGGGCCTTGCTTGGCATTCGTCGGCACTGCCTGGTACTGACTGGCACTGTTTGACACTGGCCGGCTTCGCGTGGCATGGCTGGGCTTTCCTTGGCACTGATTGACATTGCGTGGCATTACTTTGCATTGGTTGGCATTGATTGGCGTTGCTTGGCATTGCGTGGCGAGGTAACAAGGAACCAGATAACCAAGAAACCAAGATCAGGGAATCACGAAACCAAGACCAAGGAACCCGAGAAAATGCAGCTGGCCAGGACTCCGAACCACCGACTCAATTCAAAAAACAACCAAGAGCCCCCTAGACAAAGTGCCTTCTTGGGAAATGCGAACCCCCATGCAATGCCAAAGTAGGGGAAAAACATACAGATCGGTGATATTTGAGTTTGTCTGCCTTTTCACATACCGAGCAATGAGATACCGGGCCGCAAGCACCGAGTGGAATGTCCCCGAGTCCCTTCGAAGTCACGGGCGCTTCCGAGCGCTCTCGCGCGCGCTCTCGGCAATCCCAGCGTGTTGTGTCAGAGGCTTCGCCAGCGTGGCTGGGGTCCAAACCTCGAAGGTGTTCCAAGACGGTCTCGGGGGGCCGTGCTGGCACTCTAGGGGACCGCTTGGGCCGCCTCGGGTGCCCTGGGGGGGCCAGCCCAAGATGCTCGAATGCCCAGTCGTTCGGTCCTCAGAGCGCCTCGGAGGCCCCAAGAGGAGCCCGAGAGGAGGGGCGCAAGCTGACAGGCAGAACAGTTCGCCGCGCCGCAGGATGCCCTCCTGAGCCGCCTCCAGGCCCCCAGGCGGCCCCCCCATAGCTCCGAAGGGACCCCGGCAGGCCTCTCGGAAACATCTGGACGGCGACCCAAGCACGGTGGCAGAGTGGGCCGAAGGCTGGCTCGTGCGTTTGCTTGACTCGCGCACCTGCTCGAGTTCGATCGTGACCATCACCACGCGCACGCGCTTCGCGCGCGCGCTTCGATTCTCTCCCCTTCCTCTTGACTATGCTCCCCAATCCATCTCCTCTCAACTCCGCTCTACACTATGTCCCGCCCCTTGCCACCTCGTCCTCCTCTCTCGACCTCCGTTCCCACTCTCTTCCCCTTCTTCACCGCCTATTCCTCCTCCTCCTCCTCTCCTCCTCCTCCTCCTCCTCCTCCTCCTCCTCCTCCGCCTCCTCCTCCCCCTCCCCCTCCTCCTCCTCCTCCTCCTCATCCTCCTCCTCGTCCATGGCCCCCGCTCTTCCGCCCCCCTCCTCCCCCTTGCGCTGGAGACGTCTGGAGCCGTAGTTGAGAGTCGGTGGGTGTTCGTCTGGGCTGCCTTGGGGCTCTCGTGGGCCAGTTTTGAGAAGCATTGGGGCCCCCCATCCAACCCTGCTGAGCACTTCCCAGAACAGCCCAGGATACGTCTTGTGCTGGAGCGCATGGGAGGCAATCGACAATAGAACCTCAAGTGATGCTGGGATATTTCGTGGCGCGTCAAGGGCCTCTCTTTGAGGGCGTCCTGGAAGCCACCTGTGGCCTCTCGGGTGCCTTTGGGAGCATGGTTGAAGCTCTCCCCAACCGTCTTGGGGTGCGAGCGGGGCACTCGTGGGCCATCTGGGGGCCATCTTGCGACGCCCCGTGCCCCAATGCAGGGGCCTGTGTGAACTGCACTGGGGCGGCGGGTCGCCCTGTTTCACTATAGGCTCGCGCAGCACCGCGGCCAAACGGGCAGACCAGGGCACAAATCCGCACGCTCGGATGACGCACACCGGCCTCCGGGTCTGCTGGCGGCATCCCCAGCTGCTGTGAATTGGCCCTGCTGCCGAACATGCTGTCTGCCCACGCGCTCAAGGGCGCCTAAATTCGCGCTTCGCGCTGCACGAAGCGCGAAGCGAGAATACCTTCGCGCTCTCGCGCCGCCCCAAGGGGAGAGGAGAAGGATGAGGAGGAATCGGAGCCGCACCGCGAAGCGAGAAGCGCGAAGAACTTCGCACCCTTTCAGGGCGCCCGGCGCCCTTGTGCAAATATGTATGTATGTGTATACATGTATAAAGATATATATATATATATAGAGATATAGATATACACACACACACTGTAGAACCCTCGCACGACGAGCACGACGAAGGCTCACGGAGCTGTCTCCCTCCATTCCACCCGTGGTTCGATGATCTGCCTGGCTCGCTGGGTAGCCAACCGGCCGTGGTCTCTCTGGCAGCACCGTGCCACCGCGCCAGCAGACAACGAGGCGAAAGGAGGCCGAGGCCAGCAGCGAGTATCGTTCAACCGATCCCCATCCCCAGCGGCGTGGCCTGGGCCCCACTGGCCGAGTTACCCCCCAGATGGGGATATTGGCCGTTCCCTTCGGGTTTCGAGGGGTGCATCCCCAACTGGGGTGGTAATCTAGTGGGGGTCTCGAAGGGGATGGGGATGGGGATGGGGATTGGTTGAACGACACCGAGGCATCTTTCCCGTCCTCGGCATCGATGGACCTGCCGTCTGCAAAAGGCGACAGCTCGCCTCCCCAGGGCGGCCGCTCTCTCCGTGCCTCTCCCTGTCGCCCTCTTGCTGTGACTCGGCATGAATCCTGCCCTCCTTTGTCTCTGGTTCTCTCTACGCCCCTGCCAGGCGCGCCCACATGCTGATATAGCATGAGAAAACAAAACACCCGCCCCCCATCATAAGCACCCCGACAAGCGAAGCTGTTTGGTACAGCGGAGGCTGGTCCACAAGAGACCTTACATGAGCAGCCCAGCCTTGAGACCCCAGGGCGTGCATGGATTCTTGGTGTGGGAGCGTCGCGCCTTCAACAGCAAAACCATCGAAACCCAAGAAACCAATGGCACCTGGAGGCGAGCAGGGGGGTTCTTGGCGTGGGCCTCCACTACATAAGCAGCCCGACAAGCGAAGCCATCACGCGCCCCTGGAAAGGATCGACATGGGCAGGCCTGTTCCATGAACGCCCCGGGCCGTTTCGTAGACGCCAGCTGTCGCGGTCGGGGCTGTTTTTTTCCCTCCTTCGATGGTACAGTGGAGGCCAGTCCACAAGAAAGCTTCCACAGAAAACCCAACCCTGAGACCCCAGGGCGTCCACTGATCCCTGGTGTGGGAACGTCACGCTTTCCGTAGCAAGACCATCGAAACCCAAGAAACCCAGGGGGCACCCTGGAGGCGAGGAGGGTGTTTCGTAAAGAAGACGAAGAAGAAGAAGAAGAGGAAGAGGAAGAAGAAGAAGAAGTAGAAGAGGAAGAGGAAGAATAAGAATAAGAAAAGGAAGAGGAAGAAGAGGAAGAAGAAGAAGAAGAAGAGGAAGAAGGGGAGGAGGAGGATGAGGAGGGGAAGGAGGAGGAGGAGGAGGCGAGCAGGGTGCTTCGTGGCATGGGTCTCCACTGCAACACCCCTCCGCCTCTTGCCCGCCGCTCTCGACTGCCGCAGCACCGCCGACAGCACGCGCCCCTCGCGGCGCCCCGCACAAGGCACGAAGGCTCCCAAGCGGGCCCAAGACTCCTCATCCTTCCCTCCCCCTCCCCGCCCTCCCTCCCCCCCCCTCCGCTCCCTCCCCTCCCCTGCCCCCTCCCTCCCTCCTCCTCCCCCCACCTCCCTCCTCCCCTCCCCTCCCCTCCCTCCCTCCCCACCTCCCCCCCTCCTCCCATCCTCCTCCCCTCCTCCTCCTCCCCCTCCCCTCCCCTCCCCTCCCCTCCTCCCCCCTCTCCCTCCCTCCCCCCTCCCCTCCCCCCCCTCCCCTCCTCCCCCCTCCGATTCCCCAATCCGTGCTTGCACTGAAGGGGTCCCAGCGGAAGTTGAAAGCCTTGGCGAGAAAGCTGCCCGCCGACTTTGGCAGCAGGCTGAGTTCCCGGGCTCCCGGTCCCGGGTTCCCGGGTTCCTGGTTCTTGGCTCTGGGCCGATTTCGGTGGGTTCTGGGTTCCCAGGCTCCCGGGTTCCCGGTCGATCTCCCCAGCGAAAACCATCCACTGATTGGGATGTTTCTCTGGTGTAAGTATCTCCCCTCCTCCCACCTTTTCCCCTGCCCCTTCACCTCCTCCGTCCCCCTCCTCCCTCCTCCTCTCTCACATTCCTGAATTGTTTGAATATGTTCCTCGTCGCTGTCTTCGTCGTCGTCCCGCTTCAGGGCTGGCGGCACCGGCCGTAAGGCCTTCGCAACAAGGGCAGGGAGGCCCCCACGAGGGCCCACGACTGACGCACGACTGTGACAGTTCCCTGGCAGCCGGCAGAGGCCCTCAACGCCCACGCTGCACGAGAAAGCACACACAGCCTCTCCACATGCAGAACACCTTGCAGCGCGGCGCGGCAACCTATTCAGGGGAACAAAAAGTGGCAGAAACATAAAACCTCGGAGGTCCGCGCGGATTTCTCGGATCGGCGCTGGACCCCCCTCCCTGGCGCGCGTAGCGCGCCAAGGGCGGCGCCGGAGGCGCCGCCGAGGGACCCCGGCGCCGATCCGAGAAATCCGCGCGGACCTCCGAGTTTTTATGTTTATGCCACTTGTTGTTCCCCTACTATTTGGCATTCGGAAAGCCAGGCGCGACACGGCAACTCTTCACACGGACAGCGGGGAGACGGCACTGCGCGCGGCGGCGCGGCACGACCAGCCCAGGGCACGGCAGGGCAGGGCACGACACGGCGCGGCACGGCGCGGCAACGGCTTCGCCTCCTCGACACCAAAAGCACGGCACGGCACGGCACGCGGGCAGGGCACGGCAGACCTGACTCGCGCGCGGCCCTACAGCCACAAACCCCAATAAGGACGCGCGGTAAGGACGTGCGACCCTTGGAAGCCGAAGTTGGGATTTCTGGGGCGGCGGACGACGAAAACCTCAAGGACGCAAGAGCAAGGAAGAGCAAGGACGCAAGGGTACCCTGAGCAAAGTCGCGCGTCCTTCTTGGGGTTTTTGACTGTAGCTTTCGCAGTCTGCACGACACATCACCTGTCAAAACCACCTCTGACGCCTGACAGCATTCGCCAGTTAGAGAGAACCCTGCCGGGCGCCCCAGGAAACCGAACGATCCCAAGGAGGCCACAGCAGCCCCTGACGACACCCAAAATAGCGTCATTGAGGCCAGAAGAGGCCCCCAAGAGGCTGTTGCATGGAAGCCCGTGGGAAGACAGGCACCTTAACGCATTGGCCTCGCACCCCTCATCGTAGCCAGAAGACGCCCCCAGACATCCCAAGGAGAAACAAGCGCCCCAAGAGGGCAGCGCGGCCAGATCCTCGCGTTCGCAGACTGCTGGTCGAGCCAGGTGACTGAGGCCGTCGCGCTCTGAGCACGGCTCCAGAACGTGGCCCACGCGCCCATGGCCTCAGACGTCGCGAGGCAGTTGCAAGATCCAGACGCCAACGAGCACAGCCAGCTGAAGGCCGCGATCCGCGAGCACGGCCCAAGGGTTGCCCAGGCTGCCCTCTCGGACCCCCCCTGGCGGCCGCAAAATCCTCCAGGATGCCCCGCGGACGCCCAGCAGGCAAGAGGCCTGGAGGAGGCTCACGAGGAGCCCCCCCAGCAAGCTGGGCATGTGCCCCCAAATGAGAGATTGTGGACGAGAAATAGAAAACGGGCCAGAAATATTCAACATGGCCCACAAATACTCAAAAAATCGTCCCCCGACTATCTTTTTACCCTAGTTTGGATGATTTCTCCTGTAGAGGGGCACGCCCAACTTTGCACTTGGGGTCGAATCGGGTCGGGCGAAGGGGGGGGGATAGCAAAGGGGGGGGGGTGAGAATCAGCTCACGCAGCCGATTTTCCCGGCGCCCCCCGGCGCCGGGAGCGGCCATGCATCGAGGCACTGGCCCTTCGGTGAGGCCGAAACCAGCTGCATGCAGCAAATTTCGTGACCCCCATCACCTCGTGTCCTCCTCTGGACACTATGCTCAGTGCGTTGCCAGCCGTCTGTTCAGCTCATCATTATCGTCGTAAGCAAGGCTGCACCTTGCGGAGTAGAAGCCTCAGGCGGCCGCAGCAGCGTCCGCCAAATTCTGAGGCTAATGTTCTGTTGGCAGATCGAAATTCCACGATGCTCGTGACCCCCCCTTTCCCAATGCCCCCCCGTTCGCCCCGCCCCGATCGAAGGGCCGCCGCCCCCCCCTGAGGACCTCGGCGTGCGGGCCGCGGAGTGCCGCCGCGGCCACCCGGGCCCGAGCTCCGCCGGTGCCGCGCGAGGCCCGCGCGGGCGCGGCCGGAGCGCCCGTCGCCGCTCCCCACGCGGGAGGGCGTGGCATCAGCTGCCACAGGGAGGAGGAGGGAGGGGGAGGAGGGGGAGGAGGAGGAGGAGGGGGAGGGGGAGGGGGAGGAGGAGGAGGAGGAGGAGGAGGAGGAGGAGGAGGCCCTGGAGTTGGAACGCATCGCTATCATGGCCTCTCGCTTCTCTGGAAATGCCACGGTTCTGTATCGAGGGGCTGCCGCACAGCGTGCTGCGCGGCACGGCGGCGGAGCCTGCTGCAGGCACGCGGGGCGCGACCTCGACGAGACGCGACGGCCCGAGGTAGGATTACCGTTAGGTCGGGCCCGTCCCCCTACAGGGGGCTCCTGGGCGAAAAAGTAAAAGTACCCAAGGAAAATGCTCCAAAAATGCTCCAAAAGGGTCAGAAAAAATGGTCCCCAGGCTAGTTTCTGACTGTCTTTGAAGATTCCTCCTGTAGAGGGACAGGCCCGACTTGAGATTGCCAACACATCAGGCGCAAGCGCACGGCGAGCCCTGCCCTAGCGCGTGCGCTCCAACCGGACCGCCTGCGGCGCATCCCGCGGGGAGTGCTCGAGAGCTGGGCCCGGAGGCTGGAGCCGCAGCGCCCCTCTCGAAGAGTGGGGCAAGGAGGTCGTTGATGAAGGGGCCCTGGGACACACAAGTAAATCGCAAATAGCAGGATTCCCCATATTTTCCTATCTTTTCTGGGTTTCTGTCCTCCCCCCCCCACTTCCCATATGTCCCCACCTTGTCCTGGGAGCCGACGATTCATTGTGCCTGTGTGGTTTTTCCCCTCCTGCACTGGGGGCGAGCGGGCGCCCCCCGCAGAACCCCCAGTCTCCCCTCGCCGCCCTCCTCCCCCAGGCCGAAGCCAGGTCGAGGAGGTAACATCGGACGAGGATCAGTCGGAAGCCTCTGAAGTCCAGCGGCTCCGAGGGACACCTCGGGCACCGCGGCCGCCTCGGAGCGTCCCGGAGCGCTCGGAGAGCGTTCCAGAACGCTCTGGGACGGAGGAATCGTCGTCCTGACCCCGCCGGGTTCCTTCGCTTACCTGATGTGCACCGCGTAACCCTCCCTCACCTCCCTGCAGCTTTTGCTGCTGCTGCTGACGGCATTCGTCGTGCGGTCCGGTGATCGAACACGAAGGCCCTCCTGCTAATTTCTTCTCCCCTTCTCTCTGCTCCATCTCTTCTCGGCGGCGAGCCTGGGGGGAGGTGAGAGGGAGCAGGCCTTCTCAGAAGGCGGGGGCTTCAGAAGCCCCGCCGCCTTCTGAGAAGTGTTATGTGTCCTCGGAGAAGGCTTCGAAAATTTCTCAGATGGCCGGAGGCCTTGAGCCTTCTGGGAAGCCCCGCATTCTTCACTTCCCCAAAGGCTCGCCGCCAATGTTCATCCCCCCTGTCCCTCCTCCCCTCCGTCCCTCCCTCCCTCCCTCTCCCTCCCATCCCATCCCACCCCTTCCCTCCCCCCCCCGCCCTCCACTCCCTTCCTCCCCCCACACCAGGTCCCTCCTATTCCGTCCCTCCGCCATCCTGCCCCTGCCAAACATGGATTACGTCCGACCCCCCTCCGCCGCCAAGTCTCGCGGGCCGGTTGATCGCGTCCATGTCCCCCGCGGCACCGTTGTCCCGCACCTGCTGGGGCGCTGAGGCGCAAGCGAACGACCGACCTGAGGCACCTTGCTGCTCACGGCGTCAGTGTATTGCTCTCCTCCTCCTCCTCCTCCTCCTCCTCCTCCTCCTCCTCCGCCTCCTCCTCCTCCTCCTCCTCCGCCTCCGCCTCCGCCTCCCCTCCTCCTCCTCCTCCTCCTCCTCCTCCTCCTCCTCCTCCTTCTCCTCCGCCTCCGCCTCCGCCTCCGCCTCCTCCTCCTCCTCCTCCTCCTCCTCCTCCTCCTCCTCCTCCTCCTCCTCCTCCTCCTCCTCATCCTCCTCGTCCTCCTCTCGTCCTCCTCCTCCTCCTCCTACTCCTCCTCCTCCTCCTCCTCCTCCTCCTCCTTCTCCTCCTCCCTCGCCGCCCCCTCCCCATCAATCCCCCTCCCTTCTGTTCCTCACTGCTCCTCCCCCCGCCTCCCGCCCCGGGCTCTCAGCCAAGGGCAGAGTGCCAGTTCAGCCACCGGCGGCTCTCCCGCCCGGCCCACATCCGCTCGAAATCGGGCCCAGGACGCCTGGTGCACACCCTGGCCCGGCTTCCGAGGCGGATCCCGCCGTGGCGTCGAGGAGCTTCCTGCCAGGAGGCCCCACGAGGACGAACCCCAATGCCAGGGGCGGCCGCCGTCGTCTCGCCGGGCTCTCCTCCGAGAAGCTGTGCCCCCCGAGGCGCGCCAGAGTCTGGGCCATGAACTTGCTGCGGTTGCGGCTGTCGGGGCCCACCGTCATACTGACGCGCTCCCCGACCTGCAGGCCGGGAGCGAAGGGGGGAAGAGGAGGAGGAGGAGGAGGCGGAGGAGGAGGAGGAGGAGATGGCGGAGGAGGAGGAGACGAGCGGCACGCCGCGAGGGATCTCCCTCCTCAGTCTCCTCCTCCTCCTCCTCCTCCTGCGCCTGCTCCTTCATCGTTATCATCATCATCATCATCATCATCATCATCATCATCATCATCATCATCATCATCATCATCATCAGCAGCAGCAGCAGCAGCAGCAGCATCATCATCATCATCATCATCATCATCATCATCATCATCATCATCATCATCATCATCATCATCATCATCATCATCATCATCTCATCATCATCATCATCATCACATCATCATCATCATCATCATCATCATCATCATCATCATCATCATCATCATCATCATCATCATCTCATCATCATCATCAGCAGCAGCATCATCAGCATCATCATCATCAGCATCATCATCATCATCTCATCCTCATCCTCATCCTCATCCTCATCCTCATCCTCATCATCATCCTCATCATCAGCACCAGCATCAGCATCAGCATCAGCATCATCATCATCACCATCATCATCATCATCATCATCATTATCATCATCAGCATCATCATCATCAACAGTACCATGAGCATCATCAGCATCATCATCAACATCATCATCATCATCCTCATCCTCATGCTCATCCTCATCCTCATCATCAGCAACAGCACCATCAGCATCACCAGCATCATCATCATCCTCATCCTCGTCATCGTCATCGTCATCATCATCATCATCATCATCATCATCATCATCATCATCATCATCATCATCATCATCATCATCACCGTGCTCCTCTTGGATCTCCTCCTCCTCCTCCTCTTCCTCCTCCTCCTCTTCCTCCTCCTTCTCATCCTCCTCCGCCTCCGTTTCCTTTTACTCGTCCTCCTCCTCGTCCTCCTCCTCCTTCTCCTCCTCCTCTCCCTCCACCTCATCCTCCTCCTCATCTTCCTCCTCCTCCTCCTCCCTCATCATCTCCCTCCTGCCTCTCCTACACCCCCTCGTTCTCTCCCCATATCTCCTCTCGTCTCCTATCCCTGCCTGTCGTCACCTCCTCCCCCATCCTCCCATTTCATGTCCTCATCAGCCATGCGAAATGGTATCGTGATGTGTGGGTTCTACCGTGTCCGTGTTCGCTGGCATCTGGTCCCCGATGAAAGCTTTCCCGCACCCAAGCTCCATCAGATCCGCAGCTCATGCTGGCTCCTGCTAGGCGTCTCGGGCCCAAAGAAGCAGATACATACATGTATATGTATATGTATACATGTTTACATGATTACATGTCGATGCATCATCACACCTACGTATGCATGTAGCTACAAATATGTATACATATACATGCAGATAAACCTATACACACATACAAACTTATATATGCATATAGGTATGTATGCATATGTGCATCTGCGTATGTAAGAACAGTCTGTGCATTCCACAAGCGGGTATGTTTTTTCTCGCACGCACGGGCAGGGATGCCAAGAAGTAAACGGATGCGACAAAGCGACGATGTTCAGCCCCGCCCCCAGACAGACTATACCACTTCTAGGCGCCACTGCGAGAGGGGGCGGCGAAGACCCAAGTCGCAATCGCACCGCTGCAAACTCCGGACCACCCCATGGCCTTCAGACCTCGCGGCCGAGCGAAGCAGAGTGCCGGAAGCGCAGCAGTGGCTCCAAGCTGCGCGCACGCCGCACGACGCTGCGGGCGCCAAACTCTCGCCGCGGTCATTTTCGCGGACGTGCCTCGCAGAACTACAGGCCTCGGAACAAATTAGCGAACACATGCCACATTCATCCGTCAACGCCTCCCCCTCCCCCCAATGTTCAAAGTTGGCGGTGGGTCTGATGAGATGCACTTCGACCGCAGTCTCCCCCGCGCGTGCCAACATTGAGTTTGTGGGGGAGTGCTCAGTGATTGTTTCCCTCTACCGTAGCGCGCTGCGAGACCACGAGCAGACGACACCATTAGAGAGTCACAACGCACAGCTCGCCAGTCGGCAGGGCCCTTTCTCTCGCAGGCCAGCGGCCCCGCACCGCCCGCCGGCGCCTCCCGCGGGCGCGGAGGGCACCAGAGAACTGCCCGCGGGCCTCCACAGCGCGAGGGCCGCCGCACCTGGGACCGAAAGGCACGGCAGTGCCAGCGCGCTTGAAGGGGCCCTGGGACACACAAATAAATACAGTCGGGGCGTTGACCTAAGGAACGATAAATAAGGAACGAGGCCCCTAACCTTCGATTTCCTGTCGAAAACATAAGGAAAGCCTGAGGCAAGCTGTGCAACACTTAAGAAACGCGGAGCCCCTTCCCAACGAAAAGGGTTCCTTCTTCAGGGCCCCGACTGCACACACAAACAAAACAAATCCTACATTTTCCCATATGTTTTGGATTCCCGTCTTCCCCCCCACTTCCCATACTTTCCCATCCTTTCTGGGGATCGACGATGACTTGTGTCTGTGTGTGTTTTTCCCCTCCTGAGCGCTGGCAGAGAGGGCTGCGCAGCACGCCGCGCGAAAGGCGCCAGCGGTCGGCGGCGCGCTGGACGCCTTGAAGAGAGGCGCCACCGCGAGCGCCAAGGCCGCCGCGTAGGGCGGAGCGGGCCTCGGCTGCACGGCATCCGCCTTCCGCCGCCCGCCGTCGGGCGTTGCTAGCACCGTCCCCGGCCCGAGGTGCCCCCAGGGTGTCCGAGGAGGTCCTCCTCCTCCTCCTCCTCCTCCTCCTCCTCCTCCTCCTCCTCCTCCTCCTCCTCCTCCTCCTCCTGCTCCTCCTGCTACTCCACCTCCTCCTCCTCCTCCTCCTCCTCCTCCTCCTCCTCCTCCTCCTCCTCCTCCTCCTCCTCCTCCTCCTCTGGCCTCCAGAGCACCCCATCACGAGGCCCAGGGGCCCCCAGGGGCCCCGAAGTGGAGCGACGCTGGGGGCACCGTGGGCCAGGGGCACCTTCAGCACCCCCCCGACGCCGGGGCGAAACGGCGGCGGCGACGCCGCGGCGGAGTGGAGGAAGACAGAGCAAAGGCCGCTCGTGCGGCTGCAGGCCCCCCAGGGGCGCGGAGGCTCTGGGCGGGCCTGAGAGACTGCACGGACGCAGCCCTGCAGGTGATGGTGACGGCGCGGCGCATTTCCTCACATTCTTCTTTCTTTCGCTGAGCCCAGAGCACAGACAGTGTTGGCCGATTGAACCTGCCACGGTTGAAACACAGGGCTGTGCGGTCAACGAAACGGAGATGACAGGCGAAGACAACGCGTACTGCTGCTGCAAACCTGCGATGCTGGATGATCTTCGTCACGGCCAGTGCCACCGCCTCTGGGCGTGGTCCCGCCGCCCCTCTGGACGACGAGGCACCCGAAAGCAGCTGACCACCGCAGATCTGGCCGCCCTTGCTGACGGCGCGCCTCGGCGCGAAGCCACGGCTTCCACGGGAGTGGCCGGCTGCCCCATCTGTTGCTGGCAGCTGCTCCTAGCTTGCTGCAGGCCCGTTGCTCTCTCTGCACCCGTGTCGCAATCCGATCCTTGGCCCCGAACCAAGCAGCACGCAAGCAGGCAGATATTCCCAAATCAGTGCTTGCACTGAAGGGGTCCTAGCGGAAGTTTACCAGCCTAGAACATATCCCTATCCCTATGCTGGGCACCTCCTCATCACGACGCCAATATTAGGGACTCCCTTATTTTTTGAGGGCGAATCCCCAAGATTGTCATCGCCTTTTGGCGTGTCAATCTTAGGGATAGGGATACGTTCGAGGCTGGTAAGAAGTTGAAGGATTTGGCGAAAATTTTCCGCCGATTTTGGCAGCAGGCCGGGTTCCCGGTTCCCGGGTTCCTGGTTCCCGGGGTCCCGGTAATTGGTTCCGGGCCGATTTCGGTGGGTTCTGGGTTCCCGGGCTCCCGGGTTCCCGGTCGATCTCCTCGGCCATCCACTGATTGGGGCTTTTCTCTGGTGTATTTGTAGATCGTTGCACGTAGTGCACCCTTGACTCGGAATCCGTCTTGGGCGTCTAGAACTCTCTTATGCAGTATTTTTCGCCCCGTCGTCCAGACTTTCGGTGTCCCAGCGGAGCACGCGTAAACTGCTGACGGCACGGCAACAGAGTCGAACAGCTTCAGCCTGGATCTCACGGGGCAATTCTTCAAACGCAGTACCTTCCTCCACTTGGCGAAGGCACGTCAAGCCGCGTTCACTACATTGGCAAGCTCGGGCTCACAAAAGGTCCCCATGGAACCAAGTCTGCCCAAATATTTTCGGCGGCGTCCGGCGGCAAGATTACATCGTCCTCCCCCACTTTGAGAGAAGTCACCCCTGCCATCTCGCAGGTAGTCCCACTAGCCCTCCGAGCGTGAATGGTCTGGCGAAGTCATTCTGCTGACTCCTTTCTTCCCCTTCGGGGAGGAGTTCCCCCGTTTCCCAACCCCCATAGCCTTTGGTCTAGACGGGTGAGGCCGCGAGGCGTTGGAGCGTCCAAGATGGCCCCAGGAGGCTTCAAGAGGGCCTCAGAGAATCGAAGATGACCTCCACGATCGCTTAAGATAGCCCAAGATGGCTCAGGAATAGCCTCCGACATGCCTTCAAGAGCCCTCAACTCAAGACCGCCCCAGGACGGCTCCAAGTGCCCTCCGAGCCTTCCAATCAGGCCCTCAGCAAACCAAAGTCTTTCAACGTGGATTGCATTCTCGCCTTTTCGCTTCCGATGGGCTCTTGAGGCCTCAGGATGGCTCCAGGATGGCCCAACACAGCCCCAAGAAAGGGCCAAGGGCCCAATACGGCCCCTAGGGCATCCAAAAGTGCCCCAAGAGGGTCCCAAGAGGCCGACATCAGGGTCCCGGACGGGGGGCTACCTGAGAACCCCCCTTCTTTGATCGACGGCCTCGACGATGGCCTCAAGAGAGCCCTCAAAGCCTCCAAGAAGGCCCAAAGAGAGCCCCAAGAGGGCCTCAAGAGGGCCCAAAAGGCGTCCAAGATTGCCTCAAGATGGCTCCGCGGGCGGCAGCGATTGCGATGCGCCGAAGCAACGACATGGCAGCCGACCAGACAGACTACACTGTTTCTACCCATTCCTCCGTCCTCCACACCCTTTTGGTTTCTCCCCCCCCTCATTCCCCTCCTCCGTCTCCTCTCCTCCTCCTCCTCCCCCATCCCTCCTCCCCCTCCTACCCCTCCTGCCTCTCCTCCTCTTCATTTCCTCCCTCCACCTCCTCCTCCTCCTCCTCCTCCTCCTCCTCCGCCGCCTCCTCCTCCTCCTCCTCCTCCTCCCCCTCCTGCCTCCTCCTTCCTCCTCCTCCTCCTCCTCCCTCCTCCTCCTCCTCCTCCTCCTCCTCCTCCTCCTCCTCCTCCTCCTCCTCCTCCCTCCCTCCTCCCTCTCCTCCTCCCTCCTCCTCCTCCTCCTCCTCCTCTCCCCTCCTTCCTCCTCCTCCTCCTCCTCTCCTCCTCCTCCTTCTCCTCCCTCCTCCTCCTCCTCCTCCTCCTCCTCCTCCTCCCTCCTCCTCCTCCTCTCCTCCTCCTCCTCCTCCTCCTCCTCCTCCTCCTCCTCCTCCTCCCTCCTCCTCCTCCTCCTCCTCCTCTCCTCCTCCTCCTCTCCTCCTCCTCCTCCTCCCTCCTCCTCCTCCTCCTCCTCCTCATCCTCCTCCTCCTCCTCCTCCTCCTCCTCCTCCCCCTCATCTCCCTCATCCCTTCCGTCAGGGCAGGGCATTCGTCCTAGCCAGAGCCGATGCTCAATGTTCTTGAAAGGGCTCTTTACCCCCGAGCAACCCGATCCCCGCCACGCACTCTGGACGCAGCCGCACCCAGCCCTGGCCCCAAGCCTCCAAGTCGCCAGTGCCGAACGCGGTGTGGTGGATGTAAACCCGCCTGCACACAGACGGACACGATGCTAACCAGTATGCCTTCTTTCATCCACACGCACAGATATCCATACATATATATATATATATGAGCTTAGGCTGCTACCCGTGCCAAGATCAACTTTCCTTCGGCATGCTCCGCTGCTTCGAAGCAAATCAAGAGAACGAGCGGCAGGCGGTGACAGGGCAGCACGATGGCGCTGACCTGAACGGACTGAGCGAGCGGCACTCAAGACTCTGAGCCCCCTGGGTTGGCGAAGTGACGCCCAGGAAGGTGGAAGATGGGGACGGCAGGCGGGTCCTGGAAAAAACTTGAGCATAAGTACAACATGCGGCACTGAACGCAGCAAGAGATCATTAATGTGCAAGCACAACGCATGAGCTTAGGCTGCTACCCGTGCCAAGATCAATTTTCCTTCGGCATGCTCCGATGCTTCGAAGCAAATCAAGAGAACGAGCGGCAGGCGGTGACAGGGCAGCACGATGGCGCTGACCTGAACGGACTGAGCGAGCGGCATTCAAGACTCTGAGCCCCTACCCACTGCCATCCAGTGTCTTGGCCTTGGCCACCACCAGCGCTGCAAGATCTTTGCAGAGCGCCGCAGGGTAAGGACACGCCCTCGAAGTCCAGAACACACCGAACGGGTCTTTACCCTTCAGTGTTATGTGCGCCTTACCCGTTGCACTATACCTTTGTTGACAGCCTGTGCACAGGCGGAGGGACGGCTGCGCTGGCAGCCAATTGAATAGCAAAAAGGTAGTCGACTTTTTCCAGGGGACCTGATACTGGCAATCATCAACAGAAGCCCACTCGGCGTGAGCGTCGCGGGCCATGTCCAGAAGCTCCGGGACCAGCCAGAGGCGAGACGAGCGAGGGTTCTCGAGAGAGAAGGGGACTCCCGCCTCGACGGCAGCAGCCAGCAGGCGCAGAACATTAGCGAGCAGACGATTGGCGATCCTCACCTTCTCAGCGTCCGCCGCCGCCAGCAGAGGGAGGCCGTACACGTTCGCATCGTCCCTGAGTGGCGGCGGACCCCGTCCATCATTCTTCCTTGCCCGGCTCCACGTTTTGCAGTCCAGGCCGACATGCACCCCCGCGACCTCCTTCCGTGAGATCCTCAATACCAGACTGTCGATGAGGGATTCATCAAGAAGGTCGGCTCGCGGGTCATCAGCGTAGCCCCAGCCTTCCGAGGCCCAGCCGGCGGCGTGGACGGCCTTGGCCAAGGCGGCGGAGCCGCACATGAGCTCGACGAAAGGCCTGGCACGGGCGCGGGCTGCGGCACCTTGGCAGAAGGTGCGGGGCGGCGCATGCTGGGCGCGGGCGCCGCCTGCAGCCGCGCCGACGGCGCGGCCGTCCGCGGCCTCTGGGGCCGCGCCAGGAGCCTCTCGAGCTCGGCGTGCAGCTTCGCGGGCGCCGCCTCGGCCCTGCGGCGGACGTCGACCGGGAGCGCTGCAAGCTCCTGCTGCACCAGCGCGTGGGCCTCGTAGCGTTTCAGCGTGTAGTCGCTGGCCCACCGCCCGCGCCTCTTGATCTCGCCCATCGATCGATACCTCTTGAGGCGATCGTGCGACGGGCCACCGTGGCGGAGCTGGTAGGGCACGCACCTGGTGGGCACCTCGGCCCGCTCCAGCGACTGGCGCCACAGGACGCCGAGCTGCGCGGCGGTGAGACGGAACAGCGGCGCCTGCGGGCCCCCCGACCTCGCGCGCGCCAGCAGCGGGCCCAGCCAGGGCACCTCGACCGAATCGAGGAGCAGGCTCTCGTCCGACAAGCTGGTCTTGCTGTACTCGCCCCTCGCGCTGGGGCGCAGGTTGAAGCCGTAGTCCGTGCACGAGCCCGAGGGGGGGAAGAGGTCCTGCTCGCGCAGGCCGACGGCCTCGGAGGGCCTGAGGTACACCCAGAACATCGTCACCACCATGAGCGCCGCGCGCGGGGGCCCCAGCTGCGTGGCCATCACCAGTGCGACCAGCGCGACCACCTGCCAGGGCATGGGCGGGCGCGTCTGGCCTGGGCCCAGGCGCTTCCAGCCCTGGAGGGCCCGACAGAAACGCGGCAGGCGGAGCGACCCCTTTCGGGAAAAGTCGGGGTGCGCCGAGATGTACGCGGCATATGTTTTCAGGACGGCGGCTCTCTCGAGCCCGATGCTCCAGGCGTAGTCGGCGTAGTTCATCAGCGCCAGGTCGACCTGAGCAGCGGTGCGCAGCGGCAGCTCGAAGAGGTCCACGAACGTCTGGAAGTCGTCGAGGGCGCCCTTGTAGTATGCCTGGGTCTCGGGCGCCACCGCGTTCCACTCCAGGAAGCTCCTCTCGTCCTCCCCCACCATCGCGAACGGCCCAGAGGCCCGCAGACGGTGAGCGATCCTCTCCTCCTTCGTCGCCCCAACGAACGGCCTGCCCTTCAAAAAGCTCTTCTGTACGATCTTGGGGCTGGCAGCCGGGCGCTTGACGGACACCGCGCGGGGCAGGCGAGATACCCCCCGACTTGGCATCCCAGCGCCTCGACCCTTCATCGGAGGGGTTGAGCTCCGAAGGTATCCACCGATGCTCGAACCGCGACGCAGTGGCGACGGAGTAGGCAGCCTCTCTGCGGCAGCACAGCAGAAGAGGATAGGAGGAGCATCGCCCACGTCCGAGCGCGAGCACGGTGCCGAGGTTGTCCCCGAAACGTAGATGACGGAGACCAAAGGAGGCCTGGGCCCTTGTGATATGACGAGATGTCATGTTCGAAGCCCTCCCCTCGATAATCGTGATGGGCTCCTTGACGTGAACCCTGGCCGAGACCACCTGCTTCCACTGGGGGCCCTGCAGAGCCTGGACGGGCACCTCTGTGAACTGCGGGTTGAGCTCCCAGGGGTCCTTGACGAGGTCCATGCTGGTGCTCCCGGGGGCCTTGACGGTCTCGATGTCGCTGAAGACGTCGAACGGCCCCTCCGAGGCCTCGTAGCCTCCAGAACGGACTCCCAGAGCTGACCGGCGTGCCGAGATAGCCGAAGGCATGCGATATCTCCATCTCTCACTGACTGACCCGATACGTTTGACAAGATCCGATGACAGTGTTGTCTGGCACGTCGCCATACCCGTCAGGCAAGCGTCGTAAGCGAAGACCGTCGGCGACCACTGAAGCCGAAGGTTAGCAGACATCAGCGGCAGCAGGCGACGGCACTGCTCGACTTCGCGGGCAGCTGAGGGCCAGAGACGGGCTCGCACGCGATAGCAATCTCTGACGAAATCATACAAACCCCTGAGGATCGAGAGCAGCTCCCTCTTCAGCATCAAATGATCAATGAGATGACCCACGTACCTCTCCACCTCCCTCCCCGTGACTCTAGGGCGCTGCTCTAGCCACAGTGAGGCCTGGCGGAGGCGCTCGGAGCGCTCGGGCCGTGAGAAAACTCGCCCAGACGCGCCGTCGATCAGGCGGCCGAGGCTGGTGAAGACGTCAGTGGCCTCAACCACCTCGTGGATCAGCACGCCATGCTTCCTCCAGGCGTCGCAGATCTGGTGCATCAGGACATTGCATCTGACAGGGTCGGTGCCGATGACGTTGATGTTATCGCAATAGGGGAGGAGGCAAGGGACCCCCCCGTCGAGCGGGGGCACAGGACCGTGATCGGTCAGCACCCGCGGGAACCCGAGCCCCGAGGCAGAGCAGCAGACGCGCGCATTCGCACGCTGCCCAAGCCAGAAAGCCCAAGACCAGCCCATCGGAACGACCCGCAGGAACGGCCACACCCAGCCCCCTGAGGGGCCCTCGGGAGCGCCCACTGCCTCAACCCCCCACTGCGACAACGAAGCCTGCGACACCGGCGGCAGCGAGAAGAACAGTCCCAGCTCCTCCCTCAGGCCGAGAGCGTAGAAGTAGTTGCGCACATCAGCCTGGGCGCAGAAGAGCTTGGTGCTGAAGCTGCCGTCCTCCTCACGATCATCAGGTAGCTGTAGGCGACCGTGCGCAGCCGACGTCCCCATGGCCAGCGGCGGCGGGTCGCGAAAACGTCGATTTGGCACTCTAGCGCCCCAGACGAGACGCTGTGCTCCACTCTTCTTGGCCACGAAGAAAGGGGTGACTAGGTCCTTCGGGCGATACGTGAACCCCAGCATGTTAGCCTTCACCAGGTCGCCGATGAAGGTGTGGTACGCCACAGGGCCACGCTTCAAAACTTCGTCCATGTAGGGAGTGACGGGCGGCTCGCTATCCAAGACGCGGGACCACTCGTCAGGAGTCTTCATCATCGCTTGCTCGTAGTCCAGCACGTAGCTCCTCCCGATCCCGTCGAGCACCGACTCGACAGGAGGTATGACCGCACCCACTTCTGGGATGTCGACTCGGGATCTGACGTACCTTACCACGGGACTCGGTGCCTCGTCCGCGGTGTAGGACAGGCTGGAGGCCAGGAGCTCCTTCGCGGCTCCACGGCGAGAAAAGTGAGTGTCAGACTTCGGGGCCATCCTGACCTCGTTCAAAATGGTGGCGGTAGCGAGTCGCTGGGCCGCCGTGATGGGCCCACGCTGCTCGCACGGAGGATGGAGAGCGTTGAGACCCGCAATGGCATCATTGGCACGCTGCTCCGTCTGCCGCCTATGAGCCAGCCTTCGCCTCGTCGACGTAGACGCTGGCGCAGAAGTAGGCGGAGTCGGCTGAATGGAGGGCAGCGGGAACAGATCACGCTGGCGATCGTCAGCTGCTCTCAGCCCAGGAGGGCGCCCCATGTCACACGATCCTCGGACGGTCGGTACCTCGCGATCCCCGAAGCCTGCCCTGGCTGGAGGACGCGAGGTGCGTGCCGCTGGGCCCCCACGGCCACAGTCGGTCGGTACCCCACGACCCTCAGCGCCAGGAACAGTGCGAGGACGGAAGGTGCGTGCCGCCGAGACACCACAGGCCTTGTGTACGTCGCGGGCCGGCCAGCCCCCGCGACTGGGAGCCGTCGTGATCCCTGCCCGCCAGCACCGCTGGCGTCGGTCCTGCCGCCCCCCTTGCCGCGGCGCAGCTTCTGCTCCTCCTTC